TTATTAAAAGCGTGAAAGATTTAGTATCAAACTCGCTTTTGCTTGTTTGATACCAAATCATTCGCTCGTTTTATAAAATTGGTATTACACGGAAGGTCGTTTAGTATCCTCTATATCACACTCAACAAACTCGTGATTATGCCTGGGTGACCATGTCATGGTGACTTATATAATCGTGTCAAACTGTTCCAGATGTCGAAATGAAGGCTGAAGGCATATTTCAGCGGGGAGAACAAGATAACATAGCCATGCATTCACCACATGATAAATTAGAAAATACATATGTTATATTTAGTGCAAAAGGTCAGGTAACAAATCAGTTGAAGTTAAGCAACGTTGAAACGGTGACCGTGTTTGGCAGCTTGACTCCTGAGAGTTTTTAGCACTTCAGTCCTGCTCCACAACATGTGTTCTCACCTTAGGGAAGTGTTTGTTCAAAATTGCCTCTGTTCACCCAGCAGAAAATGGGTACCCAGTGGGATAAGAAATGTGACTATAACATCTAGCGCCTAACAGGCAGCTTGGGTTATCCGGGGTAATAATGCGTTAATGCGCTTTGAGCATACCTTCATGGTGTGGACACAGCGCAATATAAATGCCATTATTATGTTTTACAGATTAAAGATAGTATGCAGCAGAGAGGGTTCGGGTGATCCTGGCACAGTCAAGCTGGTAAGGCTCATCATTAGCTCAGGGCCCCTCTACACGCAGCCCAGACAGCAAATTCGGACTTCTCCCAGGAAACACTGCCTAGTTTAAACCCACCAAGAACTTTGCGGAGAATATGAAGGCTCCCCAACACTGCAGCCTTCTGCATTACCCAGATTGTCAGAAGGGCTGTGCTCCCGGTGGATAACCTGGGGACTCTCCTGATCTGCGCCAAGAGATCAGGAGGTACCAAACCAAGGGCACCGAGAACAACGGGGGAGACTGACCACAGTGTACTTGGGATGCAAGCGAGACATTTCAAAGGCGAGGTCCGCATATTTATCATGCTTTTCCTTAATCTTGCCAATCACATTGGTGTCAAAGGGACAGAAAATTCAATGATATATATAAAATCATTGGCTTTATCAAAAGGACAAGATCAGGTTTGTTGGCAGGAAGTCTTCTGAGGGCTGTATTGGGCCTATTCCACAGAAGTTTGAAAGCATCATTTTCCATGACGCCCTGGACATTTGCAGGGTGGTAGCATGGATGGACCTCGGAGTCAAAGCCACAGACATGGCGGAGACGGTAGTAAAAGCAACGAGCCATGCCATCATGTCATTTAAGATATGCTGTTTGTGCCAAAGAGGGGCATCCACTGACAAGGTGTTGGACAATCTCTGTAATTTCATTACATAGTCGACATTTCATTTGATATTTTCTTTAAGAATCACATTTTGGCGATTACGAGTGAGAAGTGACTGGTCCTGAGATTGCTGTACCGTCAGGCAGTACATCGTCATCAACAAAATCAACATCAGATTTCAGATTCTGTCCAACAACCTTGGCACGCTTAAAATAGCTGTGGAATTCCTTCCTTTCATCAAGATCCTTGACATGCATCACCAGAGGATAATACGATAAATAAATTTGGGCAAAAGTACACAATCAAATTATATTATGAAGAGCCTCCACATTAATGAAACCCCGACATTAATCAAACCCCGCCATTATTATTATTACATTTATTATTATAATTAACGAGCTAATATTATACAACTGCTGCTTGTTTTACTCATAAATTACATCATCAGATACTTGGTTGTGATCAAGATGCTTTCAAATGAAATATGTGATAGCTGTACAGATATGGTTAGGCGTATCATTAGCTATGCGCCCCTGCCCACCCAGAACTTTGGGTTCCGCATTACCCGTGTTCCTGGCAGCTACCCGGGTACTCTCAAACGTCAGCAACACAGATTGGCCGGTACAAAATCTTAAGCACCAACGTGGAGTTGGAAGTCGAACAAACCAAAATGATTCGGAAAATGAAAATAATCCCTTACAGCGCAACCTTCTGCATTGTCGAAAGTGCCTGAAGGGCTGTGTTCTGGGCAGCATACCCGGGTACACTCCCAATGCCAGTCAAGAAATTGTGATGTACCAAACTTCAGACAATGGGCACTTCGACTACTGGTACTGCAAGTGTGATCACATTTATGCCAAAAGGAGACCATTTCATTAGTTTCATCTAAATTAGTAAAGTCACACCTCTGAGTCAAACAATCATGATCAAAATGGTAATAAGAGAAAGGAGCAACTCATACTTTTGCTGTGTTGCTGGCAATGCTGGGTATTGACTGACACTAAGTCGTCGCCTGAAAACCAGAGTGTTCTAAGTACACTTTTGACAAAATTAGAGTTGGTATGCTCAGGGTAGGTTTTAGAGCATAATCTATTACTCTAGCAACTTTTTACAGTGCTATCCAGCTTTATTTCTGCTTTATCTAATTAAATATAGTCCTTTTGAAAGAAAAACAGGTTTAAACGACAAAAATACAACCTGGTAAAAAGGAAATAACAATCAAATATCGATATAATAATAATAAAGCTGAGTTTTAGCTGTGTTTTTGACACTTAGAATACTTTGGTTTTGAGAAAAATCACGATTTTCTTTGGTCAAGTGTTCTATCTCCAATCATTTTCGTGAATTTCTTATTTATTTCAATAGATTGAGCATATAATTTGATATCTTCTGATCCTGTTTAACATGTCACATGCATGTGCAAAATTTGAAAGAAGTCGATTGAAAAGTGAAGAAGATATTATTGTGCTAAACTTCAAGATCGAATTTCTCGAAAATAGGTTTTGTGACTTAGTACACTCTGCTTTTCAGGCGACAAAGTGTCAGGCGGTCTGATTACATTCCTTGCTTACACTACATTTCACATTTAAATTCAGTTGCTAATGTAAACATTGACGATTTTGAGTGGAAAGTGACTGGTCCTAAGCAGCAAACGGAATACCTTCTGTCGGACAACTGATGTCATGTCACTCGGGTCTGCTCTTCCTTTCAACACATTGTACAAAAACTCAGATGCGGAGGTCGCTCATAAAGCCTTCTTTTAAAAAAACAGACCTTGTACCAATTTCATATAGCACTTCTCTTGGTTGATACTATCCAGCAGTACAGGTCCAGCAACAAAATCAACAATGGTTTTGAACAATGACCAACATTGATGGTGGAGAGTAGAGAGGATGATGGCATTCATTGTTCGACATGATGGATAATATGGCCACCATTCCTTGGACAGAAATATGCAGTTGGTAATATATTCAGCAGCAAGAAAACATCAGTACGAATTCAAAATTAGACAGGCACTGTAATCAAATCATTACAGAAATGGACATAATAAATGGATCAAAACATTTTGTGTGCAATATCTTGACACATCAATGAATAACTCAGCACAATTCCAAGACATTACGTGAAAGTTTGCAGTCCATTCACGCTCTTGACTTCAGTATCTAGTGTGAAGACCACGAGCGGCAATAACTGCAGCACAGCGTCTATGCATGGAGTGCACCAATCGATTGATGAAGGCCATTGACACCTGGAACCACGCTCTGAGAAAGGCCTGGCGCAATAAATTGGCTGTGTTCGGCCTTGGAATGACATTATTAAGTCTCATCTGAAATTCATCCTAAAGATGTTCAACTGGGTTTAAAATCAGGACTAAGGGCTGGCCACTGCATAATGTTGACACCGTTCTGCTGTAGGAAGTCCCGTGTAGCGCTGGCAGTATTGGCCCGGGCGTTATCATGCTGGAAAATGTTGTGCCAGTGACGTGCGAAATGTGGTATGACGTGGGGTCTGAGAGCTTGGTCGATGTAGCGCACCGCTGTGATGCCGCCTCCTCTCCCTGAACCAAGGTTCTGGAATACCACAGGACCCACTCTCTGGTTCAGGCCTATTCCACCCCATACCATGATGCTTGCACCTCCCCATGAGTCTCTTTCCATAACACATTGGTCTGAGTAACGCTGGCCACGTCGTCGCCATATTCTTGTTCTGCCATCTGCAGTTAATACGCAGTATCGACTATCATCGGTGAACAGAACAGTTCTCCATTGCCTGTATCGCCAGTTTTGGTGTTGTAGGACAAACTGTAAACGTTCACGCCGATGACGAGGTTTGGGGATAGGTCCACGGTAAAATCTACTGCAATGGAGGTTCCTGCTGTTAAGACGTCGGCGTAACGTCGGCGTATTGTATCAGTACTGATTGTTCTTCCGTGTGTTTCCACTGTCTGGCGTGCTGTTTCGGATGCCTGCATGAAGGGATTCTGTACATGCTGTCGCACAACATGGCGGTCTTGTCGTCTTGTGGTCACCCTTGGTCTGCCAGTACGGGGACGATCATTTGTGCTGTTGGTGGCCCGGAAACGTTGCTGCAGCTGCCTGTAGAAGTGGTCAGCTTCAAGTCTTCCAAGTGCCTGGTTCCTCTGAGCTGTCGTAATGTGAATGTTTCAACAGGTTTGGGGTGCATTTTATAGGGCTGGTCCTTGTGAACCGCACGTGCAGCATGGGTTGCATGAAAAACATGGAGAACACCGTACCATCTCCGAGATCAGGTTGCGTTTTTGAGACCATTTCCTGAGTTCCATTCTGAGTTTGGGAAAGAATGTCTTTGCTCAGGTAAAGTTGGAGATGTTGTCAAAAATATAAATCAAAACATTAAATGAGTTTACAGTTATCCGTTTCTGCGAAGAAAAATTCCAAACTGACATTTGTTTTGCTGCTTAGTATACATATCCACTCTGCTATCGTGATTCAGTTTTATAGGCTTGAACGCGTCCAACAACAACAACATTAATCAATAGTGCGAGATGTAAATATATATTTTTCTGAGGGACGCTCAAAGGGCATAGCAAATGTGATTGTGCACTAATATGGTGCAGCAGGTTTTGGGGCACAGTGACCCAGGTCAGGAGTAAAGTGTGCATAATCAGCACAGTGTGCATAATCAGGAACAGTATTGCAGTGGTTTGGGGCACAGTGACCTAAGGGTAACTCGTACACGGCTTGCATTGACAGATATCCATGTAGAAAGTAGTGGGGCGCCATAGGATCAAGACATCTATAATACATGCTTGCATATTTAAATCTGAAACAAGAAAATGGCTTCGCCCAAGCGCATCCTTACCGTGAGTACTGACTTTAACAGAGAACTGCTGACTTGAAATGGAATGATGATACATGAATAGTAAAATTGTAACTAGAGAAAACATGTAATTGTTATTCATATGAAGAGTTTAAATATTATGTTATTGAAACTACAAACATAATATTGGGTTAGTCGACTGATTAATCATAACTAGTGTTGGGAAATGGTTTATTTCTGATAAATGATGATTGGTTCATTACAACCGATCAATCATCGAAAAAGAATTGGTTAGCGTCATTCATCAAAATGTCCTGTTTATGTTTTTAATACACAAAAATAAAAAAACACGTGTAGTTCTTTCGTTTGTTTTTCAAATTTCACATTTTAAAGGATGCCTAGTAAGCTAGGAACATAAATGTCCTGGAGTATTCAAGATAAATTCAATTATGACTTGGAACGAGCCTGTAGTGTTTATGAAATGTAGCAGACAAAACCAACCTTGTGAAAAATATTGTTAATGCAAGCAAGTGTTCCAAAATTGTTTGTGTTCGATTATGAGAAAACATGATCGATTGCTTGGCCGTTTAGTCATTGCGACCAATCTTCGATTATTTCAATTAATCGGACCACCACTAATCATAACCAATTCACTGACAAAGCCCATACCAGGTAAAAGGGAGACCGAGTGACAAACCAGAAGTTTTTCTGTTTCTTTGTTGTTTAACGCCGCACACTAGCGAAAAAAAGAGACTGAGGGTCCTATGAAGATGTAAAAACACAATCATAATAATTGGTAATTCGTTTGTTTAATCAAACATAACTCACTGACAAATCCCACTCATGGTGCAAGAGAGATATTGTGAAAAGCCGTAAAAGTGTGTTGGTATAACAGAAAAAAATCGGGTGTGACCACCATTTACATTGTGAAAGCGAGACTGTAGCGGCGACTTAAAGGCACCAGGTGACTGATAATATGGGTGTTAAGTTTCTAAATTGCAATCAAAGGTCTATCTAACTGAGCTAGCGTTACCGGGTGTTTTGTCCTCACTCAGAGAGTGGTCAAAGAAACACTCGACCACAGCGGTACAGCGATTACTTGCTGCCTCACAAAGTCTATTTCTACAAGTGCAAATTTGGGCGGACATTATCCTACTTCACCGTGAAATCCCTTCATTTGCATACAGGATAGAACATGATCTACAACAATGTCTCTTCTGTATCGTACAACATTGAAATATCTTGCAATTGATGAGGTGTGATGTCACTTCAAACCATGACACTCGCAACTCACAATTGGTGAAATTAAATTACACAAACTTTCTCCTGGATGCATGTAGACCCGTTCACAACCATCAACCAGTGTCAATGGACTCTTCATTAAACAGTACACTGTCCCTGCCTTGGGTTCAGAACCTCAGATGATGCCTAGGGTGAAACGGTATACCTCGGCATTATGCTAGGGTTTACACTACGTTCCCGGTGGCCACGGCAGCCCTGTTTCCCAGAAACTTAGTGTGCCATGGGACTTTTGCCATTTTGTTCCCTCCAAAGTCAAGGTAGGTCCTGCTAAGATTTCATACGGTCTATCACGGCATCCGAGATGGGCTGTTGGGAAAACGAGCTGCTGAGTCCGCACTCACGGTCCAGTCCACTACGGTCCAGTCCGCAGACTACTACGGATGCCAATATGTTTCCTCCCGGCCTGTCGCGTTCTGATGGGTTCCCTCACGTTTTGATCAAGGTTTTGACACGTTTTGCGCGTTCTGTCAAGACTTTCTATGGATAAAACGTGGACTCCGGGCAACTTTGGAGCACGTTTGTGCCCACAGTATAAAAATAAGGCTTCCCAAGCAATAGCAGCCATTGTATCCTGAGGGACAAGAGCAGCATGAACCCTCAAGATGTGTTTGCATGTTTGCTGGGGAATACATCGAGTCCTTGCGTCATACTCCCTCCCAGACCACGTGCACCGAATCAGACCGGAATAGAACGCATCTTGCCTTATTTCGTCGGCCCTGTAAACAGTCAATCACGGTAATCACTGCATCCACGGTAATCACGGCATCCACGGTAATCACGGCAATCACGGCATCCACGGTAATCACGTCATCCACGGCAATCGCGGCATCCACGGTAATCATGGCATCCACGGCATCCACAGCAATCACGGCAATTACTGCATCCACGGCAATCACGGTGATCACGGCATCCACGGTAAATACCGCATCCACGGTAATGATGGCATTCACGGCGACCAATCACGGCAATCACGGCATCCACAGCAATCAAGGCATCCACAGCAATCACGACAATTACTGCATCCATGGCAATCACGGTGATCCCGGCATCCACAGTAATCACGGCATCCACGGTAATTACAGCAATCACGGCATCCACGGTAATCACGGTATCCACGGCAATCACGGCATCCACGGTAATCACGGCTATCACGATAATTACGACATCCACGGCAATCACGGGATCACGGCATCAACAGTAATCACGGGGATCACGGCAATTGCATCAATCACGGTAATCACGGCATCCATGGCACGGTAGCAATCACGACACGGTAATCACGGTAATCACGGCAATCACGGCATCCACGACAATCACGGTATTCACGGCAATCACGGACTGTCATGTTTACTCATTCAGCCCCCTCATGTTGTCTGACGTCCATCCCGTTTTGTCCCTGTTTCCCTACCCCCGGCAAAATGGAGTTGCCGTAGTCACCGGAAACACAGTGCAACCGGAGCATTAGTAGAACTGCGTTATTTTGCCTTCAGATCGGTATACCGTAATGCAATCGAAAAATTCGGTATTTTCGGTTTCCCTACCGTCATTTTGTTAACCTTATTAAATGACGGTTTTGTTCATTCAAAATAACAAAGAGTATGGCTATGTTTTTCCATTTTATTTTACAATGTAAGGTTTGGCTCTTGTCAAATTTCTGCATTGTGATCATGTACCCATTCTAAACGGACCGAACCGAAGTCCTTGTACCGCAATACGCACCGCACCGTGGTAAGGGCTTACCATTTCACCCCTACTTCCTACACCACTGACTGACTGACTGACTGAGTTTAGTTTTACGCCGCTTTTAGCAATATTCCAGCAATATTACGGCGGGGACACCAGAAATGGGCTTAACACATTGTGCCCATGTGGGGAATCGAACCCAGGTCTTCGGCGTGACGAGCCAAAGCTTTAACCACTAGGCTACCCACGGCCCACTTCCTACACCAAGCTATGCGTGTCTGACGGGGTATTGAAACAAATCAGGGCCTATCACTACACGTCTGAGTTCGATGCAATTGTCCAAGCTGCGAATGCAAAATGTGACAGGTAGCAGTGGAATTCCATCAACGAAATGTACATTGGTACACAAATCACAACTGAAAGTTTTCTTGTTCGCCTTTTTCAGATTGACGGTGAAGTGCACAATGTCGACCATACAAAATGAACATCAAGGTAGAAACAGACAAGTTTGGCAAGACCATCAAGTACATGATGTTCAATGGCCGGCATCACTTTCCAGCATATCCTCCGTCAGTCCTCGATCAAATAAAGAGCGTCTCTATGAGGCCTGATGATGTCTTCTGTCCTGCCTTTCCAAGAACAGGTAATCTGCTCTTTGCATAATTAGTGTCTTTTTTCTCCCTTTGCGCATAGAGAGGCACCCCGCTGGTCTGGCAATGTCCCTTTTCAGTCTGTTCAGATGGGAATAAATCCTGTACTGTAACAAACTCCTGACCATTCCCTTTACCAAAATGTCAGCAACATACTGAGCCAGAACACTAATGTTACATAAAATGACCGAAAGATGCCTGTGGGAGTATGGACGACGTAAGTGCTTCATTTACTTTCTTTCTCTGGACGTCTTTACATAGACAGTATATATTTCACACATGGAGTCAAATATGATCCATCCATCATTGAGTGACGTGAAAAACGTATATCACGTTTCGTTCAGCCCGCGAGAAGACAGATGCATCATATTTAACTGGACATATGTCTTATTTATTAGTACAGTGTATGTTACTTCCATGTTTTGTTTTATTAAAATTTAGGTTTTAGTTTCAACTGGGAATCGACATCGTACAATATTTTCACTATAGTAAACACATCAAAATTCTGTCACTGTACTGAAGATATCACTTTTCTAAAACACTCAAATCTTCGTCTGTAAAAGAACACACAAAGACAAAAACATGAGGATTGCATGTCAAACATATTTTGGCTTTAATATTCACATCAGTAGTATTTTACCTTGATAAGACGTTACGCTGACGTACTGTATGAACACAGGTTTGCTGACTTTTGCCATTAGTGTTAGGAAATGATTCAAAGTGCACCCTTAGCCACACACACCAGTCCGCGAGGCAAATACTGTAATATTGTAAACCAAAGTCACTGTATTCTTTAATCTGATTGGTTGAAAAACGTGATCGAATGGTATTCCATTCTCGGAAAATCGCTAAGTATTAATACGTACAAAGATCGCTCAAACCATTGTATTGTTACGTCGTCAATCAAATCATAGCCGGCCGTTTCAGCTGTCTCACATGGTAGCTTCTGGAACTGCTGATTTGTGACGTCATTCAGACTTTACGTCACAATATGATTTGATTGACGACGTAACAATACAATGGTTTGAGCGATCTTTGTACGTATTAATACTTAGCGATTTTCCGAGAATGGAATACCATTCGATCACGTTTTTCAACCAATCAGATTAAAAGAATACAGTGACTTTGGTTTACAATATAACAGCGTGGCAAATTCTGAAGACTAATTTCTTAGAATTGTTTATATTTATTGATTGGCAGGTATTATTGGCGACTGGAAGAACTACTTCACAGACCAAATGCTGGAGGACTACTATCGGGTGTATGAAGAAAAATGGCCGGCTCGAGATTCTACAAACTGTACGCTCGAAACGCATGAAAAAACAACACTCGTATCTAAATTATTTTAACTATCGCTGTTCCACGAAAACCTTCATCCGTTAGCAAATGGAAATAATATTGTACTTCACGTATTCATGCTAATACCAAATAATTTGTTTGCAGGGAGAACCGCATAACATATCATATGCACCTGTTTTCATGAAACGAAGAGGTCAAAATTATGTTTACTGGAATGTATAAATGTGGGTGTATAAAGCTAGTGTAGATGTGGGCTCAATGCAAAGTAGATGTGAGCAGGATCCATACATTTGCATGTATGAAACCTCTCTTTGATACACCAGCTGTATGTAATGACCTACTGACTTGCCTGAGACCACCACAACCCTAAAACAACTCTGTGTACGTGTTTCGAGACAAGTCCAAAGGTGAGTTTAGTTTTGCGCTGTTTTAGAACTCTTCCAACAAAATCGTGGTGTGTGTGTGTGTGTGTGTGTGTGTGTGTGTGTGTGTGTGTGTGTGTGTGTGTGTGTGTGTGTGTGTGTGTGTGTGTGTGTGTGGTGGTGGTGGTGTGTGTGTGTGTGTGTGTGTGTGTGTGTGTGTTTCGTTCAGAACAAGTTCGAAGGAAAATGTGTAGCAGTGCTTCCGAATTGTAGCCTGAAAATGAATGCTGCTTGCAGGGCTAACATGATAATAAATTAGTCTTCAGTATTTGCCTCGCGGACTGGTGTGTGTGGCTAAGGGTGCACTTTGAATCATTTCCTAACACTAATGGCAAAAAGTCAGCAAACCTGTGCAGAAGAGCCCAACTGTGACGCGACTCGTCAAGGTTCCCAATAATCCTATTTTCGAATATGTTACGAATACACTGTACTAAACGAGCACAAGTGAGGTAAATACATATTGTGTGTGTATTCCTAAAACTGTGGCAATTACCCTCCCAAACCGACAATTGTTTTCATGTAATAAAGTCTTCAGAAACGGTTCCCACATAAGTTTTAATGAAAGTTGACACTGAAACTATTGATCTCCATTCATCTCCTTGTACCTTGTGATCTCCTTGTGTACCTTGTAACGCACCGCCATATAGCTGGAATATTTCGGAGAGCGGCATAGATCTAAACAAAACTCCTTGTAACTCGCGACATTCTGTCACCATTGCTCTCACAAATATAGTTCACTAATGAGAATAACTCGTAGATCTAAATAAAGAATCTGATGTAATTTTAGAATGATTACGCCATGTATTTTGTACCTTATAATAATACAAATGCAAACCTCTACTACTGTCGATCCCTTTATATGTACCAAAGGGATAGGCTCTGGGTCCTGTATAGTGCAGATCACTTTGCACCTCAGTGCCGAAATATCGTCTGGAGAATGGGACAGCTTTATTTGTTGAGGACGACGCCAGGTGAAGGCAGCTAAGCTAGTTCTTCATGAGGAGATAAAGTGCTAGAAATTATGGACGATTTCTGCTTTACCGGTGTGAAGCACACCCGTAAATTCAGACGCCCAGTGATCCCTTTCGAAAGAGAGTATAATCTGTCACATCCTGTTCATTATTTCTCTGTGAAGGTTTAGGTAATTTTAAAGACACCTGTATTGTCATTAAATTAGAAGAGCTATATCATTAAAGAGGCCTTATGCCAGTTTTCAATTGACATTTGTAAGAGTACCATTTGTGACACTATTTCATTTCCTTTACTTCACAGAGTTATCATTAACTGCTCCATATATACCCGACCACCACCTAGCATTCAACTTTTAAACACTGAAATATGTAAGTGCAACACACAGAGCAGAATAAAAAACATTTAAAGGCAACAAAGTTGGTTCAGGGGATCCTTCTATCACAGTAAATTGTGTCATTTAAGTTAGTTGGTTAGTTGGCTGAACCCGAGTCTGCATACGGGCCTATTCCATAGGATTGTATAACTGCAATTTTAAATGACACCTTCTAAATATTCTGGGTCCTACAATGACCGGACCTCTGAGTCCACAAAGATGGAGAAAACGGTAATAATAGGACTGAGCGACGCCATTATGTCGCTAAGGATAGTTAGTATGTTTGTGCCACTGCTGGGCATCGACCCGGTGACAAGGAAATTCATAACATAATTTCATATTTACATTTGAATGGTGTAAGATCATATAAAGACGGTCCACCCCTGAAAATCCAGGTTAGAATAGATATTCTGTAGCCCATGCTTGTCGTAAGAGGCGACTAACGGGTTCGCTGACGTGTTTGGCACATGCCATCGTATACCAACTGCGTAGATCGATGATAACTGGATTGTCTGGTCCAGACTACCGCCATATAGCTGGAATATTGCTAAGTGCGTCGTGAAGCTAAACTCACTCACTTGAAATTGGTGACAGCATTTTCAGGAAACTGTAGCGCCATATATATGTGATCCCTGTGTAAGTTTTTCTACATACGTTCCTCCACTACCAAATTTGGTGCTGAGCATGACAAACACATGAACTAGAGTCAATGTCCTATCACACAGCTGACCTCGTTTCAAGTAATACTGTTATCTCTGGTGTATGGGACGTTACGTCTGTCTTATCACAACCTACATTCACATGCACTAGACCCAACTGATAATATGTCCAAGCCTTCGATAACTGTGAGGTGAGGTGATGTGATATGAGCTGAAATGGGGTTCAACGTCGTACTTGAGAATATCTTGGTCACACGACACATATGTATGTGTGGCTGCTTGTACTAGCCCTGACTTAAGCTTGTTTTATAGTGCCAGCTCACTGAGATACCATTCCGCTGTTAAGCATAATACCCCACTTAGACATTAAACTGACTCCGAGCCAACCAGTCTTTGGTGTAACCAGTGATGCCGAGCGTGAGGCAGGGAACAACATGTCTTTTGGTATGACGCGGGCCGGGACTGAACCCGTGACCTTCGCTCTCTGTAAGTGATACAGCTACCATATGCCGAATTATATATAAGATTTACGTACATGATCTTTTGCAATATTGCAGAAGTATGGAGTCAAGCCTGATCAATGATTAAGTTTAAATGTATTCAAAGGGCGTGAATTTCAGAATCTTTAAGTATTATTATTTCCTCAAGACAAAACTTACCAAGACACAACATTGCATGAATTTGGTGTGTGATCTTTGTTGATTTGTAATATGAAGAAAAGGGTTGTATATCTACTTGAAATGACAAATACATTGTTTTTTATGACTTACAAGCGATGAAACTCGATGAAGCTACAAATTTGTGAGTGGTGAAGAGAGAAAGGGCTTTCAGCAACAGCAATCACCGAGCTGTTTTCGCGTGGCCACTTGCCTGAAATTTCATTGAGACAATCCTCGGCTCAAACCGCTCATGACCCAAAACGCCTTTCTCTTTATCAACTTGAGGATACCCTAAACGTCACTACACACACACACTCGGCTAAATCAGTGTGAATATTTCAAAAACAAGTGTTTGCCACTGATGTGTCAATGTCCCCGCCGCTAAAGAATGGAATATCTATACTTACTACTTATTTTTGGGTCACATACAAGATGCCTGAAATGACTGGTGTCTGCGTAATCCCCAATTTAGGCTGTCACCAAATTTGAAGACATTGGGTACAACAGTCGATGAGATGCTGTATTAAGAAGAGTTTATAAAGTGTTGAAAGTGTCGTTGTGACCTTGAAAATAAGGTTAAGGTCACCTAAATACAGTGGTGTCTGCGTAATCCCCAATGTAGGCTGTCACCAAATTTGAAGACACTGGGTACAACAGTGCATGAGATATCACGTTAACAACAGTTTGAAAACTGGTCAAAGTGTCGTGGTGACCTTGAAAATAAGGTCAAGGTTACCCAAATCGACTGGTGTCTGCGTAATCCCCCAATGTAGGCTGTCACCAAATTTGAAGACATTGGGTACAACATTTCATGAGATATCGCGTTAACAAGAGTTTGAAAAGTGGTCAAAGTGTCGTGGTGACCTTGAAAATAAGGTCAAGGTCACCCAAATCGACTGGTGTCTGCGTAATCCCCCAATGTAGGCTGTCACCAAATTTGAAGACATTGGGTACAACAGTTCATGAGATATCGCGTTAACAAGAATCGGGACGTACGTACGGACGCCGCTGAATACAATTACAAACCAACAGAACAGTTACCTTCTACCACGCTTTTAATTGCACATGTACCGTATTTCATTAAATATGATTAAGTATTGTTCATAAACATATTTTTTCAAATTTTGGGAGAATATGTTTCGTTTTACGCGATAGTTTAAATTTTCACCACTCTGCTAAAACAATGTCTGATTTTCTCAAAAGTAAATTTTCGTATGGAGACGTCTCCTCTGAATTTGCCAAGCTGAAGGACCTGAACTTACTGTGAAATGTTACTTTGTTTTCAGATTTTCAACTTAAATTTACAGTATTAACCCAGAAGGAAAGTGACTACCATACCAATTTGTGTCCAGTGATTACTTTACATTTGAACAATTAAGACTATAAAATGATGCCTACATATATAGGTGAGCTACAGTGCCACGCGCCAGTCATCAATCACAAGAGCTAATGTGGATATCAATTCGCTCGTTCGCAAATATAACTTTGGGCACGTTACTGACTCTGTTATCTAAAGTACAGGCGTAAGGGACATCACACTATTTCATGACCTACATTCGCTCGACACGACCAGGAACATGTCCAAGCCTACAATAACTGTAAGTTTTACTTTGATATTGTACGTGTTTTACATTTACTGAAATTCAGAGATGTTGTTCTCTTGAATTCATCCTGAGTAGTGATCACTTTTACGTGTATTCTGTGGTTAGTTAATAAGTGGAATAACTTTATCCAGGCGTGCTGTATGAAGACACAACAGTAACTAATGTTTGTGGTGTAATCATTATTGATTTGTAGTTTGGAGGAGAGGATTTTGAGATTGACCAGGAGGATCAAGAAATTGTCTTTGTGACTGACAAGCGAGGAAACTCACTGCAGCTACAGATGTTTGAGGGTATCCTGTACCCCAACGCATACAAACGAGATGTTTTAAACCAGCTAAAAGACGTCCAGCTTCGGAAGGAAGATATATATCTAGCAGCCTACCGAGAACCGGTCAGTGAGAGTAGGGTGAAATATGGAGAGACTCATGTTTTCATCTAAACTCTTTAATGAAACCATCGAGAAAGGTTATGGAGATTTCAGTCCGACAATCATCGTCAGTCATTTGTTGATATCATATATTATTACTCACCCGTTCACGATATCACTGTTTAATAAATCTACAATCTTATTACACATTGTGTAATAACATTGCGTCCTGCCGGAACTGTTTGCTCTCGGTCACATGACCAAAGTAATGTGATCAAAGCAAAATGTCGGCTGTCATTCACAACACATCTCGATATTTCAGATGTTATATTCAAAACATTTTTTGTTACATAGCCACATATTTTTATACAATAAAATAAAGTCTGGCAGTTACAAATTTAAATAAATAAACAAAGGTAAGTAATGAAATGTATTCATAGGCGTAGCCCTGTTATGATGGCGTAATACACTCGTTCCGTAAGTCGAATTCTAAGATGCTAATTGGGTGAGTAATACATATAAATACTGAACGATGTCCAGTGTAATTCCATATTTATGAAATGAGTGGGTGAGTGAGTTTAGTTTTACGCTGCACTCAGCAATATTCCAGCTATATGGCGGCGGTCTGGAAAAATAATCGAGTCTGGACCAGACAATCCAGTGATCAACAGCATGACCATCGATCTGCGCAATTGGGAACCGATGACATGTGTCAGCCAAGTCAGCGAGCCTGACCACCCGATTCCGTTAGTCGCCTCTTACGACAAGCATACTGAAGACCTATTCTACCCCGGATCTTCAAGGGTCTATGGTCTCGTTTAATAAATATGGTATTACACGGGACATCGTTTAGTATTCTCTTGCTATCATTTTAACTCACGCTCATATGTATACTCACTACATACCCTTTGAATGGAATGAATTCTCTGTACTGTTGGTGAGGCAGCTGGCACGAATCATTTAGCAGGATTATCTAGCTGAGCTCAAACATCTTTTATATCGTTAGCAGTTGGTAAAGTGCCTCTTAATTCATGTTTTTCTGTGTCAGTTAGAAACACCTACTCATTTTACGTACCTTGCAAATTTTACAGTGCAAATTTTACAGTGCAAATGGTCGCGCTGGCTATCAATATAGCTCACAGGGGTCGATAATCGTTAACTGATTATCAATCGATTATCGATAAATATCGGTGATGTAACATTGAGCATAAAGACCACTAATGTCTGAAAGATAATTAATATATTTCACATCACTAGTGACTGGTGACATGTTGTCTGCCTGGATTATTAACAAACAAATGCAGACCATGAAAAAGTCCTAAATTTGTATATTGTGTGAGAAAAATTAAAACTCTTTTCCATCACAAAGCGATATCATCGATAACAGAATTTTCAGATCAATAATCATTAATAATCTTCCTATCGACGATATTTCCTATTATTGAAAATTTTAGCCACGCCGAGTAAATAGAATCTGACTAGAACGAGTTTTGAATCCTCTATAGGTGTACCCATATAAAACATGTACACTAAGCATTAATGTGATAACGACTGTTCCTTTGATACTGTACAGGAACACACTGGACGTTTGAAATGGTTGGAATGTTGCTTAATGGAACTGCCGACACCATACCCACATACAAGGAAAAGATTCAACTAGAATTCACAAAGAATGATGAACTGAGTAGTCTCCCCTCCCGACGAATCATCAACACCCACTTCCAACTTTCTCGTGCACCAACGCAGCTGAGAGAAAAGAAATGCAAGATAATCTACAATCTAAGAGACCCAAAGGATGTTGCAGTCTCACTGTACTGTTTATATATGGATATAGGGGTGACTGGCTACCAGGGCACATTCAAAGATTTTCTAGAACTTTTCGACAATGAGAAAGGTACATATGTCCATAGAGCATATATTTTCAATGAAACAGATAATTGTTTATGGATTATTTTACAACCAAACTAGGATTAAACGGACCCTATTGGCATCTTTGTAGTCGAAAGTCATTCAATACATGATGTCCTATTTAATGCATGTGTTGAAAACCAGGGTAAGCGCTTCGAACTGTATGTTTAATCACTGATGGGTGTGCTATTGAAAAATCAGCGCGTTTCGGGGCTGTGACAAAACCGATCGCGTAGCTAGCGTTTGATGTAACTTCTAAATATGATATTGAGGAGTAAGAAGATCACGGAGTAATTAAGTGTTAATCGTTGGAATGGTACTTCGAATGTAAAAATATAAACTGAAATACGAGGATTACATCCCCAATGAAGCTCAGTACAGGGGGAAACATTAACACTTTCCTCAGACGCACCCTTAAAGGTCTTAGCCAAACATGCCTCTTCATTAAAGAGAAATAGTTGAGGTGAGGTGAAATGGGGTTTAACGTCGTACTTGAGAATATTTCGCTCATATGACGACGCGCATGCGTGTGTATGTGTGGCTGCTTGTACTAGCCCAGACTTAAGCTAGTCTTATAGTGCTAGGTATAGCTTACTGAGATGCCGCAGTAAAGCTTGCATACCCGTCTCAAGACATATTACACTGACTCCGAGCCGACCAGTCCTTCTTTTACCCATTAATGACGAGCGCCAGGCAGGGAACAAGATTTACCATGTTTTAACTTCTTTTGGTATGACGTGGCCGGAGATCGAAACCGCGACCTTCCGCTCTAAAGAGAAATGACACCACCCCAATTAAACTCGCGATAGGTATAACTGTGGTTATAACATTTCTGTTAATGATGAGATCTCTTATGCACTTTTTACGTTTTCCCAGAAATTATTGAGAAAATCTTTGTTTCCTAATACTGATGATAGAATTTTAAAATAGGTGTAGTAAGGTACTCGATATGGGAGGTAACTCTTGTAGACTTCAGAATGAACCTTACTACATCAAGAGTTATCTCCCTTGGTGTAGCAGACGGCTTCCTTTGTTGGCATGGCAGATTTGACAGCAGAAGAAAAAAGAAAGGTGGTTGTAGATGATTTTGAAAGGGGTGTCACTAGTGTAAAAGAGTTAGCTGATAGACATGACATTTCTGTCTACAGTATGCAGAACTTTGTGGAATATTCAGTCAGGACTTGTGATTGAGCACAAGACATGGGCAAGGAGGCCAAGGAAGTTCAGTACTACGGATCACCGAGGAGAAAATTGAAAAGCGTTGATGATATCAGAAGAGATATGATTAATAGAAGTAGTCCTCACGTATGTAATAAAACCCTTAGACAAAAATTACAAAGACTTAACTGTATGAAAAAGCGCGGAATTCTCTCACCATTGATGAGAGACGCAAAAAAAAAGACGTTTAAACTGCTGTAGTGCTCACGAAATTCAAGATTAGGATAATGTTTTCTTTTCTGATGAAAGTTTTGTCTGGCTTTTTCCGAACTGTGTGAAACTTTGGACAAAATATACCGTGAAACCTATTTACCAAAGCCCAAAACATAGCTCGAAATTTCAAATGGGATATCATCACGTGGAGTGACGCCATTGTGTCTTCCACTGGAACTTTGACGAAGGAACGATATATTGACATCTTAAATGATCACCTCCTTCCAACGGCCCGAACACTGTATGAAGATAATTGGTTGTTCTAGCATGATAATGACCCAAAACACACTGCGGGCTACACAAAACAGTGGCTGTGCGACGAAAATGTTCACATTTTAAACTGACCCAGCTACACCCCAGATCCTAACCCTATTGAGAATGTGTGGGGACTAATGAAGGACAGAATAAACCAAAAAGGACTTTAAAATATTGAGGATATGAAGAAAGAAGTGGTCGAAAATAGGGTTACGCTGTCATATGATTTCCTACAAACTCTAATTGGTAGTGTACCTAGGCGCATTCAGTCGTGTATTGCAGTCTCACAAAGTACTGAAAAATCTCTTAGACTGTAAGAGGATCACATCTCAACATATTCATGCAAGTAAAACTTCTATAGGTTATATATAGGTACATGTATTAGCTACATATTTGCCGAACCAACTTTCTCAATAATTTCTGGGAATACTATACGACCATCATAACAAATGAATATTTTGTTTCAAAGCTTATGAGACAGCTGAAATACTCTTCCACTCAGCCATTATAAAGACGTTGACAATGGCTTTTAATGAGTGATATATAAGTGTATGATCTGCATTAACCTTCTTTTGAACATTTCAGTTGAGTGTAACAGGCGATCTCCGGCGCCTTACAGGTCTTAGCCATACTTGATTCCTCCTTAAAGGAACCAGTCAAAATGAACACACGATAGGTATATCTATGATAACATAGTTACTATTAACAATGGGATCATACCCTCTGGGGACATTTGTTAAGTTTCAAGACCCTCGCAACACACGCTTCTTGGGTTTCAAGGCTTATGCCATTATGAAAACACTGGCAACATCTCCTTGTGAGTGATTATTAAGTGTATCGGCTGGGTTAACTTCGTTTTGAACATTTCAGAGTGAGTGCAACGGGATGTTTGAACACCTGCGTGATGCAGAAAAATTCTTTGAGGAGAATCCTGATATTGAAGTGCACTTCCAAGTTTACGATGAAACACTAAAGGTACCTGTACAATGATAACATTATGTGCCCAGCTCGCAACAACGCCTTAGGTTTCAAGAGATCTGCCTAGAGAATAATCTGGCGTATTTTTCTGTCCAATACATGAATCCAGTTCTGCTAAATATATTTCCATGAACACACATCTTGCATCTTCGGAAAAGGCATCTAATTTTGCTGATTGTTGATGCTGTTGCGAGTGCCTTTCGGGTGGTCGTACATGTATGTATGAGTGTGATCATGATTTTCTTACTTGTATTTCATTTTTATTTTATCATGTGTAAAAGCCAGAGATATTGATATAAAATAAGTATGAAATTTATGTTATCCAATTTGTTTTCATAAAAAGGATCCTGTAGCAGAAGTGAGAGCTCTCTCTGATTTCATTGGGCTTGAGAGAGATGATGAACTGTGTCGTGCCATTGCAGAAAAGTGTACCTTTGCAAGGTTGAAAGCTGACAAGGACAAGTACTGTATGAAAGTTGATGGAAAAAACTTCTTGTACAGAAAAGGTATTCTAACAATGCAAAACAAAACCAAAGTAAATACTTTCAGACATAATAATATAATTTTTGTAAAACTGACATTTAGTGATTGGTGAATAATACAAATAGCAATGAATAATATTCTTTCTATACTATGACTTACTGTGTATTATTGTGTTGAAAACAAGAAATTATTACTGAAGCCAGAATGGATTCCTCCTTTCACTAATGGAACGGTAAACTAAATGGAAGTGAAGTGATTAGTACAACTTAAAGGATATGAGGATAACTTTGGCGTTGATATAAAGTGCAATAGATTACCGACCTGGTGAACATTAAAATGTTATGAGAGGCTATTGTAGAAGGGATGTAGGAAAAAATTATGATCCTGTGAAATTTTCAGTTAAAGCTGCACATTGTTATGTGATATTATGAGTCATAAAATTGTGACATGTTGAGTCATGATGGCGCTGTTCTTCAGGTGTCGTTGGAGACTGGAGGAACCGGTTCACGGATGAGATGTTGGAGGAGTACTACAGTGTGTATGAGGAGAAGATGGCCGGGTCAAAATTCTATGAACGTTATGCCAGAACGAAGGTCGACAACAAACCCTAATGATTCATTTCAGGAAGTCATTTCTCAATGATTCTAACCAAACGTTTATCAGTGGAGATAGAATAATAAGCAGAACATATAGCATTTTGTGTGGCTACATTTATTTCTTGTTTTCCTGTAACGTGAATCATCATTTCTCGAATGACACACGATTACTATCTCGGCTGTAGCCTTTATGCTTTACCAGGCCTAATGCGCGTTAAAGTTGACGAAGTTGTACTGGAACCAGCTATATATTCCTTGCGAACAAAATGCTAAATTTCTCTGAATAGTATGTGAACGGATCACTGTAAAGGAATGATGACACGAGGTGTGAAAGGGGTAACAGGGAGAAGGTGTTCAAGTAAAACACCATCGGCTTCATAACCAGGAACACGGTATTAGTGTGAAATAACCAGTGAGAATTCGGATGGATTAAATGTCTGAGGCACGTTTCTCAGTAAAGATGTATTTCATAATACTTGTCTCATCTAGTGAAGGCAAGCATTAAGTTATGTGTGTGATATGAATATTGTCTTTTAATGGATAATTGAAACACACAAGTTCAAAAGTCTCAGTGTTAACCTGCCAAAATGGTACTGTTCCTCTGTCCCATTTGGACAGGGAACTTGAAGTAGGACTAGAGGTATAGACCACGCTATTTTCATCCATCGTCTCAAACAAGATAATGACATTGATGGTACAATACTAAACTGGTGTACCTCCTTTGTGACAGATCTCAATCAACAGTTATTGGAAACAGTCTCTCAGAGTGCAGTGCTTTCATGTGGCGTCCCTCAGGGCTCCATTCAAGGGCCTCCACTCTTTAGCCTATACACAAAGACTTTTTACTGATAATGAGATTGGTCACCAGTCCTATGCATATTATTCCCAGATGACAAGATTCGCTGGGGATAGAGCAAGTCAATGAGAGACATTACATGCTAAATCGTAATGCAGACAAATCTGCAGAAATGCAGCAGGAGTAGTGTAACGGTCAGGAATTTATTCCAATCTCACAGTTTATTAATGGAGTCTTTCTTGACTAACAATGGAAGACCACATGATATATCTAAGTCACTTCAACTTCAGGAATATTGGTTTTATTCGGTTATATGTTGCCAACGCATCACTCATCACGAATTCTTTCCCGCCTGGATTACTGCAACAGCCTACTCTATGACATTACAGAGGATCAACTTCACAGATTGGAAAGGTTGCAGAATACAGCTGCAAGGCCACTTACTTTGAGTGAGTGAGTGAGTTTAGTTTTACGCCGCACTCAGCAATATTCCAGCTATATGGCAGCCACTTACTTTGACAAATTCTAAAGAACACATCCAACCTGTACTCAAATCACTTCATTTCCTACAAGTTCATGAACAAAACACGACTTAACTAATATCTTGTCTACCAAACAGTCCACAAGATCACCCTTCCATATCGTCAAACTCTTTATACAGTGTATGAACCTTCCACAAACCTTCATTCGGCAGTCAAATTCCTTTTTGAGATTCCTGCCATCTCCGTACATGGCATTTGGTCCCATATCCTTCAAACACTATGCTTCCGTACCATGGAACTCTCTTCCCCCCTACCTCAGATCCCTTCCACATCAGCCTTATTATAAGCAGTATTATTCGGACTTTTCCCAGTTGTGAATCAAGACAAACCTACGTGCGCTATTGTTGAACATGCAATTTTACAAATCTTCAACATACAGGACATCGAAAATAACAATGAAATTGTAAATCTGATTATATTCTTTGTTTAAAGTGGGTTGGGGATACCATTCAACAGGGCATATATACTAGGCACATAAAGAAACTGTGCATACAAAAATTTAAAATCTAAATTGATCAAACCTGTGTCGACACATAAGGATTTAAACTCAGAGATTAGTGACATGTATCCAACATGCATGCACGTGCCACGTTCCGTGACGTCAGTCGGTTCGTCCTTGAGACGTGCAATACGTTGTTGCACGTGCAATCCGGGAAAGAGAAACAGAGCAAATGAATGCCACACAATACTGTCACTTTGGAAAGCTCAACCCCTGCCCTTGCGATCGTTCAAAAAATTAAACGGCTATTGAAACGCATAGCATGCCAAGGCTCACGTCTGCACAACGTCATGAGGCCATTGGGATGGTCCGTGGGGGAATGACTCAACGACAAGTAGCTTCACATTTCCACTGCCACCGGAACACCATTTCTGCACTGGTGAGACGCTACCAGAACACAAATGACGTCATCGATCGGCCACGTTCTGGACGTCCACGTGTAACAACGCCAAGACAGGACATATGGATAAGGTGACCCATCTTCGCCACAGGTTTCAGACTGCAGTGATGACTGCTCGAACCATCCCAGGACTTCGCCGTATCCACCCCAACACAGTTCGACAACGTTTACGTCATCACGGGAACAGACCACGACGTCCCGCCATACGGCCTATCCTGACACAACGTCATCGACAAGCTCGCCGAATGTGGTGCCAAAATCATGTCCGCAGACCCTTGTTTTGGTGGAGAAATGTTGTTTTTACAGATGAGTCCAGGTTTAACATTTCCCATAGTGATGGACGTCAACGTGCCTATAGACGCGTGGGAGAACGTTATGCACAAGCCTGTGTCTTGGAGAGGAATCCCTTTGGTGGTGGTTCCGTGATGATTTGGGGTTGAATAACAGCACGCCAAAGAACTCCTTTGGTGATTGTTCAGGGCAACTTAACTGGTGTGGGCTACAGGGATCAGATTCTTCGACCTGTGGCAATTCCTTTTCTGCAATGTCATGGCCCTGGGTTAACATTCCAACAGGACAATGCCCGCTGTCATAAGGCAAGGGTTGCTATGGATTTCTTGCAACACCACAACGTTGATTTACTGCCTTGGCCTGCAAATTCACCGGATTTCTCCCCGATAGAGCATGTTTGGGACGAGATTGATCGATGTCTACGCCGTCTTCCTCATCCGCCAGATAACGTCCTTGACCTTGCAACAGAACTTGAGAGAATCTGGCGTGACATCCCACTAGCCCTCCTTGCACGTTTGATAGGCTCTATGCGTCGTCGATGCATTGCTGTTCTCAATGCCGATGGTGGACATACCCGTTATTGAGCTTGTGACATGGTCGTTTGACCCCTATCCCGCTTGTGGACTCGTGACGTCATTGTGATTGACTTTTCAATTGAAATTCTCCCCACTTGTTATGGTCTCATGATCCCTCCATTAAAGTTTATATGTACCTTTGACATTGTTATCGTACTTATCAACTGGGATAATATTTTGACAATGCACAGTTTCTTTATGTGGCTAGTATACATGGTATACGCCGCAACTAAATGCCCTTGTACAAGGAAATGTGTTCTTATTTTGTTGACTTTGTAGACTTATAAAACAAAACTGTGTGTTGTTATTATCTGGAACAATGCACACAAATACAATGACATTCCCCTACACCCTGCCCATATGAAAAATCAGTGCACACCACATTTTAGTTTTATTGAAGGTAAATTTCCTTGCACAAAGAATTTGAATTTGTAACGTTTAATACATGGTCACTAATTCTTTAATAACTTTGCTCACGAAAACAAATCGTATGACAAAGGGCATGCACAGTTACAATGTACATACGGTACTTCTTTATATGTACTATCTGTTTGTATATATATTCTACCTGATTAAAGTATCCATTCTATTGTTTAAAATTATTCCTAAAAGACACAGTCTCGCATTATGAACTTTCCGACCGACTACTTCTGTCGTCCATATTCTTCACGATAGAATCTCGAGCCGGCCATTTGTTCTTCGTACACACGGAAGTAGTCCTCCAGCAATTCGTCAGTGAACCAGTTCTTCCAATCACCACTCACGCCTAAAATAGAAGCAAGCGTGGGTGAATCACATAACGAGTTAAGATAACAATTCTGTTTTGAGGTTCAAATTCAAGCCAGAAACATATGATTATAAGTTCGGACTATGTTTTTAGGTTTCTCATCATAATACCGGTCTCGTGGGATTCGGGAAATGTCAGAGACCTGCACCACCTCGGGCATTTAGCTCACATGATGGTGATATTCCGAGGTATCACTGGAATACTGATTAAAGCGACATTATACCAACTCACTCTCCTGTGGGATGGCACCGTATTTGATGTGTTTATAAAGAGTTAAAATGCATTCATTAAGTCATACTGTTAGAGTTTCTTACCTTTCCGGAAAATAGTGTTTTCTCCACTGAACTTTAAAGTGTATGCACTCTTGTCAACCACCATTTTCGAAAACTGACATTTTTCTACAACAGCTTCAAACAGATCAACATTCTTCGGGACGCCAAGAAAGTTTGCCAGCTTTTCAACTGCCATCAGCTTATTCTATGAAAAGAATATATAACTAGTCATTGTATACTTATGATATTTTTGAGTAATCACACGCTTGGCTATGATTGATTGAATTTCCCTTTTAAGGATGAATCCTAAAACATTGTTACACCCCATAAGCAAATATTTACGATGAACGTTAAGAGTATTATGTTTGTTGTAATTAACTGAACAAAACGTGATTTACTTTGATTGCTATGGTTAAGACCCGATTTGTTTATAAACAACAGCATACAGCTGTAACACTGCTGAAACAAATATCTCCTCATGATATAGTCACAATTGTAAATCGATTTTGTTTTTACCAAAGATTTGTTGTGAATGTGGAAAGGGTTTTGTAGCTTCTAATCAATAACAGGCTGGTCATGGTTACCGTAAGCATCTCCTCATATACTACTGTGAGCACAGGGATGTCTGGATGTTGTTGAAGAAACTTTTCAGCACTCTTCATGTGATTAAAGTACCCATTGACATCAGCTGCAAATGAAATCGGTGAAATTACGAATATTTGTCCTCCTTTGGTGGTCACATTTATCACAATAACGGACTATACGGCTGAAAGGAGGAATAATTAATCTGCTAACTATAAATTTGATTTCTTATATGAAATGCAATGCATGTTTCCAACAGCGGTTTTCTTTCTTCAGCAATAATTCATGTATATGGTGGCGGTCTGAAAACAATCGAAAATGAACTAGACAGCCCAGTGTTTGTCATCATTAGATTCAGCTTCAGTAGTAGGCTAAGCTATTGAACTCGTCATATACAACATCGACATTTCAGCTGAGATTATGTGTCGTTTGTTGTGTTGTTTTATATATTTGTTTTGTTTTGTATGATTCATCTGCCGTTAACAACGACTTGTAGCATCAACAAATTATATTTTCCACTTGAATTAATCACAGTAGGAAGGTACATTTGGAAAATATATTGCTATATAATCTTCTAATAACTTCACTTTCACTTATCGTCCATGCAAGTAGCAAAAGTAATGCAAGTGCCCATGGTCCCTAATTTGGTGATCTACCTTCAGTTGTTGGCGATCTATAGCCAGTTTTTATATTGTATTGTCCAAATAGTCCTATTAGTTTTAACTTTCCACACTAGTTTAAGTTGTAATTGTGATATTCTAGTTGTTTTACTGCCCTTCTTCGACAGGTTTTATCATATGCATATATTCCATTTCAATGTCAAATATGTTCTCGTCACGATATGGCTGCAATATTGCCGATGTGACGTTAAATAATAACTCAGTCACTCACTCACTTTCACTTATCGTACGGCTTTAAAGTAACAACAAGCACGGCAGCTGTGGTACAGCATAGAGGTTAAAGCGTTCCCTCGTCACGCTGAAGGCGGGGTTTGACACCCTACAATGGGTTCAACATGTAGTGGCCCTTTCTGGTGTCCCCTGCCGTCAAATTGCTGGAATATTGCTAAAAGCGGCCCAAAACCATACTCGCTCACTCACTCACAAGAAGCCCACCGAAACTTCTATACTGGTCTGCCGCTTTGTCAACCACGTAATGTAACCAGTGATAGAAATACGCAAAGCATCGGAACGTATTAAACACACTCTACCTTTCCCTTCAAGGAAGAGGTACAGATAATCCTTGAAGTCTCCAGTATAGTTGGTCACAACAGACCCACTACGACTCAGGTTATACATGGACACGGCAACATCCCTCGGGTCTCTGAGGGTATACACAATCTTGCATTTCTTCTCTTTAAGATCATCGGGAGCATGAAGCAAATTCAAATGAGTATTTAATATGCGTGGAGACGGTAGTGCGTCCAGGGCTGCAGCTTCCACAATCTCTAATTGGTTCATCCCTTTCCACAGAGCGGCGGTTTCAGCTTTCCCCCTCAGGAGCATGCTCATCATTTCATACGTCCAGTGTGTGCCTGTTGAAGATATAATTTTCTTCAAGGATACTGGAACTCAGGTGAATGTGAAGTTACGAATGATGGCATTTTACTAGTTGTCAGATGTTTGTTTTGTTTGTTGTTTAAAGCCGGTGGTGTGTAAATAGTCGAGACTGGTCCAGACAATCCAGTCATCAACAGCATGAACATCGATCCAAACGTGCCAAGCGAACTTGACCATCCTGTCAGTCGGGTTAGTCGCCTCGTATGACCAATTTTAACCCGGATTTTCACGGGAAACTAGTTAAATAGGCAAGGCCACGGGTAACCAGACACGTTACTGTGTATTGCAGTATACTAGTATTTATGTAATAATCATGTAATCATTAATATGATTTAATAATCTAAACTTAGTTTCATCTTATACACAGTAGCAGGGCGAACTTGGTAATTATATGGGTTTCTTTTGCTGTTAGCGATTTTGCTGCATGCGGAATTACATGATGTTACAGAAGCGTAGTAGCGCCACGGTGAATTATTTTTAGTCTCATTATCTCCTATGTAGGACACATAGTATCTCCAATGTAAAACATAATATCTCCTATGAAGGACTTAGTATCTCCTACGTAGGACTTAGTAGCTCCTACATAGGACTTAGTATCTCCTACGCCTAAGTACTACGTAGGACGTAATAACTCCTACGTAGGAGATAGTATGTGATACGTAGGAGATATTAAGTCATACGTAGGAGATAGTGAGACCAAATTGTTTTTTCACAGTGGTCCTACTACGCTTCCATATGATGCTAAGATGGCGGTCTGTAAAGAATGGAGTCCGGACCAAACAGTGCAATTAGTGACATCATGACCATTGATCTATGCAACTGGAACAAGGCCGAGCCTAACGGTTCTATACATGTAGACATCTCTGTCTCACTGGAGTCAAAACCCCTAACCACCAAACTCAAAGATTTCAAAATTAGAAAACGCCAAGCAGCTGTCTACATCAAAGACTCCAACCATCGATTAAGCGTGATCAAGGCTATTACATACCTCCATCACTTGCTTGATAACGGTGTTCCCAACTTCGCTCACTATTGTCTTAAATAATTTTATCATCCATATATTACATCTCCCCATTACTCTAACTTCTTAATGAATCTCAATGCAGTTAAATGTGTTAGGGGCCATCATTCTTCAGGATTATAGAAAAACCTGAATGTCATAATGTAGCGGATCAAACAATACTTGTACCACTGTGTGTTTGTTAATTACCTGTCCTCAAATATCCAGCAAAGTAGACATCGTCCGAACGCAGTTTAAATCCTTTGATTTGCTTAAGGTGAGCCGCGCAGTAGAAGATGTTGTAATAGACGCCATCATAGCGTTGTAAAGTGTACGCCTTTCCTCCTCTGTCCTTGACAATAACCAGGTCCTGTTCAGACTTGGGTAGTTCAATCTCATGGCCACAGATCTGTGTTAAGACACATATTTACTAAGAGATACTAGCAAACTGATACTATTTACTATCACTAGATACTATTTACTAGCGAACTGATACTATTTACTATCACTAGATACTATTTACTAGCGAACTGCACTTAAAACGAACTCAAAGGGATGACAAGGTTTAGTTCGGGAGAACCGTAGTTCGTTACACAGCATGCAGTAAAATAAAATATACAGTACAGCAAGTGGCATTAACGTTACACATACACACAGATACAGATAGATATCTAGCTATATCTATCCCCCTCTCTGTATATATATACATATATTGAAATGTAAACACTTACAGCATGTAATATTTACAAAAGTCTTGGGATCCTTCAATGCATCTAATTCATTCATAAAATATCTCCCCGAATCAAGAAACATTTTTTTTTTTAAAGAAATTCTGAAATAAAAAATTATTCAAATTTCCTGAAGTGCACATATCTGAAACATCTCGTCTCCGTGTATGTACCTCAGCGAAGTCTCCGATCCTCCTCTGACTCTCTCCTCACCCAACACAGATCTCCAAACCAATTGTCTGACCGAACCTTCTCCTCTTCCAAAGGAAATCAGGAACACTTCATCGAAATAAACTTTTAAATCTCTGCTAAAGACCCATCTATTCACTGCTGCCTTTCTGTAAAGTTATATGAACTTTTTCCTTCCCAAATATTGTCACAGCGCCACTGAGCATCTTTATGGTGGATATTAGGGGCTTTATAAATACAATATTATTATTATTATTATTATTATATCAAAAGTCACAATGTAATGAAACTCACCGTTATACCTTGAGACATTGCGGCAGATGAGGACATAAAAGGCACCTTTAAATACGCGGTTTAACCACGGTTTTAAACTGTAACATAAAAATTAATAGTTAAAATTGACTAAAAGGCAAGCAGGTCTGTATCAGATGTTTGTTGAAACAGCAAGAGCCAGCTGATCTGATCTGTGAAGCTGTGCCTAGTTGTGTAATGAATATTAGGACTTCCGTGGAAAATAAATACAACTTTTGATCCTTAAACCATATTGGTTTCCATAACAACAATGACGTTTGTAACAATTGACATAAAATATATTAAATTTATTTCTATACTGTAACAATGGCTTAAGAGTGGAGAACGTTGTACACTGTTTATTATTAATCAATAAATTTACTTGGTATGAAAACATAATGTCAGAAGTATCAGAGTTCATATAGAAATATTGAACAGTTTAATAAAATATGTGTTGGTAATGTCAAGGAACATATTGTTCTATTATAAAGCATAATAAATTTCTTGGTAATAACATAGGACTGTAAAGGTGGAAATTAATTCCTATTTCAATATATATCATTATTTATGATAGTCTATTAAATTGAAATTGCGTTGTTGTATGTTTCATGTTTTGTTGTAGGAATAGACACACAATTAGAACACAATAGACCACTCGTTCTGAATACTTGTGGTACAGTTGTTATATTATTGCAATATCTAAACTGTCAATAGACACATTGAAGTTTTCCAGCCATATTGAAGTTCGCGTGAATGGAAAATTTGGCTTGCCTTGCCGGGAGCACTCGCTACTGACATGCGAGGGACGTTCATTAAATAATCCCCTTGACACACTCAGGGTTATAATACCCGGCTGAAAGTTTACTTGTATAGTATTACATGAAGCTTTAGGTCACATGATAAGCTGCAACGCTGAACTCACACTGCTTCTTCTTTTACAAGTGTTAGATTGGAGCAAGGTGTGACTATGGAGATAGTCGAGTAATGAGCAGTGATCACGTTTTCATATTTGAAAGGTCGCACGCCAAAAGCGACCTTCGATGATTTGAAAGAAACGTATTGGGGGATGATACCCCATTATGTGTAAACGCCAGCGTCGCCAGTTCAAGTGTGGCAGAACATCTGCTGAAACGTCTCCCATTCCTGGGCGCACTAATTCTGCCATTGATGAAGACACCATCCAGCAAGTGGAGGCCGCCATTTTAGAAGACGGACGAATAACTGTTCGCCAGTTAAAGTGTAAGCGTAAAGATTAGTGTGGGGTCTGTAGAAAAAAAAATCATTCATGGCCATTTGCACGTACATGCATAAGGTGTGTGCATAAACCAGTCGATTGCTTAAAGTCACTTTTGGACATGTACCAAGAAAACCAGGACGCCTTTTTTGACCGACTTGTCACACAGGTAGAAACATGGGTCTATGCAGTGGACACACTTTTACTCCCTCCTCCTCCTCCTCCCCTAGAAGACAAAGGTTTAAACATAGAACATATCATGCCGTATTTACGTATATACAGGTCACGACGACCCGGCCTAAATATTAACCTGGTAGCTGGGATGTACCTGTGCACCTCATACTAATCTACATATACTTTTTCATGTGAGACCACCTGCCAGGACGGCGTGACATTTAGGCAATTTCCAGATTCGGGAGTAGGTGGGAGCCACAACGTATCTGTAAATGGACGAGTGTCTGAATAAAGCATTGCCAGCGTCGAAAAAAACTGCCTGCCCGACAGCCAAAGATTGATGTGTTCAACTGCAGCAATTAACTTTTAGAAAATGGACCTGCGCTTGTACTGTTGATATTTATATGTCGCAAATATAAAATCTAGGAAGAGCAATTTGTTCAAAACTAGATGCCACGATGAAGTACATATACAGCAAAGGAAGTTATTCACTAAAACATTATGCAGAAAATGCGAACAAAGAGATTAACGCGCAAAGCTAAAGCGAGCATGCAGTCCGTTGTAGGGTGAGACATTTAAGGGCGCCAAAATGTTGTGTTTCCAAAATACTACATATTATGTTGACAAAATATGGGCTGGCACCTTTCGAATTGTGAGTGAGGGAGTGAGGTTAGCTTTACGCCGCTTTTAGCAATATTCCTGCAATATACGGGGACACCAGAAATGGCCTTCACGCATTGTACCTATGTGGGAATATCGAACCCGGGTATTCGGCATGACGAGCCACTAGGCTACCCCACTGCCCCTGGCTAATAGGGCAGGTAACGTTTCCGAATTGACAGCTGGACTTTCTGTAACAATATTCAACAATTTAAGTTAGCGTGCGTAGCTGACAATTATTTCACAATGTTTAATTTTCTGGATTATATTTTCAGTTGTTGTTTCATATATAAACTGAATGGTGCAAGGCTCATGGTAGCCCGTAGAATCATGGTGTGTCACTAAATACACACACCTGTACTAGGTAACTTACATCCAGATCATAGGCCTCCTGTGTCATTCAACCGACACATAGTCACGGCTTAATGGCAACCCTACAGCACGTAGACCCTACTTCGAAATGTTACAAGCCATACTCCTTGCTAGAATTATTAAAATCGCATTATCCATGGTTACCGTGAGTATATACACGTGTACCCGGCCTTCAATACACGCCAATCTCCGTGTGTCAAAGGAATATACACTCTATCCAAAAAACAGCTGTTGGGGACTTAAATAGATCGTATCGATGATGAAAAAAACCCTCAAATTCTTGACACTCTTTACCATATGGCCCTTACGTACACCCAGGTCACGTCGACCCGGCCTAAATAGTATCCTTTCACATTATGATTGTTTCCTTTCGGTTTGTGTGCATGTACTATTTGGGATTCGGAAAGTCTGTGACAACATTAAATATATCCATATATCAAGATTCGGAAAGTAGTATCTTCAAGAGCCAGTAACTATTACAATTTGTGACAACATTATACTGAATAGAATTTCTGTCTACGGTGCCGCAACATGACTATGACGTATCTGTGAATGAATAAAAAACAGCACAAAACAGAAAAAAAACAACTGTGACAACATTGAATTGACTTAACAGAGACGCTGAGTTGACTTAGTGAGTTTGGTTTTACGCCGCTTTTAGCAATATTCCAGCAATATTATGGCGGGGACACTAGGAATGAGCTTCATATATTGAACCCATGTGGGGAATCGAACCCAGGTCTTTGGCGTAACGAGCGGACGCTTTAACCACTAGGCTACCCCACCGCCCGAATTGACTTAGAAACGGATTAACGAGGCTTCACTGTAATAGAAACAGTGTTGGTTTAGACGGAATGAGCTGCACAGCATCCAGCTGGTCCTACTTTTACTTGTTTGTAATCACACACTTGCACTGAAAGCAGAGCACGCTGACCTAGGGAAAAGCTTTCAGTTGTATTCACGGATTGTTATGCGTACGGAACCGACTGAGGGAGCTGGATGCTGTGCTCCTCAGTCGGTTCCGTGCAGGCCTAGAACTGACTGCACGAAAGCCAACTAGCAGTCTGGAATCGAATCCTCAGATGGGTCAGCCGAATGTGGTTGTCTCTCGTAAGAAAGAAAGATTTATGGATGTCAATTTTTTATTGTGAATAACACGATGTTTCGGGTGTATGCTTGCTCCTTCATCAGGTGTGTGTATTCAGATATGAAGGAGCAGGCATACACTCCGAAACGTCGTGTTATTCGCAATAAAGAAGTTGACATCCATAAATCTTGCTTTTCTTATGCATTCCACTTCTCAATGCCCTTCAAAGATTTAAATGCCTCGTGTTCCCATCATGTTGAAGACGTGTCCATAGAGATGAAATCGTGTTTCGATGGACACGAAAATATCTTACCATTTCATTTTGGGCCATTCCAGTCTCCAGCATACCCTGGGCGCGGACACGCTGATTTTCTGTGAGCCATGGCATGGCGTACGCGCAGGTTGATTTATACGTGTTTTCCACAAAATTCAGAAGCTGAAAATTATCAACCGTTCTTCAGTTTCCAATATCAGGTTTGTGAACTTCATTTGCAAAAAGCATGCAAAAGTGAGAAAGGTCATTGTGCAAAAGTGCAAATACGTGACATCAATTTTCATGCAATATGCTTAGCTACATTTTTTAGGGTATTGTTATTGTTAACGTTTCAAAAACTATATTTTATGCAATTTTATGTAATGCACAGTTACTATTAGTTGTATATATTGCCCTTTTGTGGTTTGTGATTGTTCATTAATGTCATGTTCGTATGTTGCTCAAATGAAATGAAACGACCAAACACTTTGAAAGCAGAGGCAAGTGTACAATTCTGACGATATCATCTGTCTGTGTTCGCTTGATGCCACATTACCCAGTATCACAGCTGTACACTGTAAACAATCGAGTCGTGGACCAGACTACCCAGTGAACTATGGGCATGCATGGTTGTCGAAAAATGAATACTTCCGCTTCCAGGCAACCCCGATCCACTGAGCACCCGTGCCACGCACTTTGTGTGCTGGCGATAATGTGTCCTACTTTGACAGTGTGCGTTCGAATCCTGCATGGAACTCAACCCACGAAGTTACTAGAATTTCTACTTTAATGACAGAGTGACACTGAGTGTATTGATATAACAGATGGTATTGAAGTGAATTAAAAAAGTGAATGAATTTCAAGGTAGTTGTGTATTAATGTTAAATTTGGGAAGCCACCTATATGAGAAGAAACACGGTAACGCCTTACGCATGACTACAACCTTTCACCATATCGTTTTCCTTAAGCAAAGATAGTGACAGGACTGTGGACAATCCGAGCATCACAGTACAAACATGGATGACGCTAAGAGTGAAGAGGGCACATTGACTGTGAGTACATTATGTTTCTCATTACAATGCTTCGTCACGCCGAAGACCCGGGTTCGAATCCGCACATGGGCACAATGTGTGAAGCCCATTTCTGGTGTCCCCGCCGTGATGTTGCTGGAATATTGCTAAAAGCGGCGTAAAACCAAACTCAGTCAGTCAGTCATTACAATGCTCAGCTGCCCGATAATACAGATACGTTGAAGAATGCCTTTTCATTTTGCTTGTTTTGCTGATTTACGTCCTTATTACTGTATTGAGTAGCAATGTGGAGATGCCTCTATAAAACAATACCTTGCTTCCCAGTTCATTTTTCTGAAGCTCCCTCCTGTCTTCAAAACAATAATTGCTGTGATCTCATGTATCAGTTGGAATACAGTTCCGGAGTCGTCTTATATGTCCTGACTGGTATGGAATGATAATGTGTGCAAATGGGCACAGCATTGAACAAAGTATACATTGATGAGACTTGTAATAACAAACATATTGAAAGTTTAAACATAGGTTTTCATTTTGACAGGTTCTAATTTAGGTACTGCATAAGGACACTATTAAACATTCCTAATATGGGATATGTGTTTCAATAATTACATTAACGATATAATTGAACACCTGTTTCGTAGGTATCTGGGAAGACGTTGGACGTGGATTACAGCGGGCAGCACATGGTTGAAGTAACAGATCGAAGCGGCCACACCATACCCTATCACCTATTCCAAGGGGTACATTACGCGCCAGTGTTTAAAGTCAAAATACTTCAACAAATCAAAGGTTTCAACATGAGGCCAGATGACATATACTTCACCGGATATCCTCGTACAGGTAAATTCAAAAGGTCAACACAAAATATCTATCAATTAATTGATTCCGATTATCTGTAAAAACAGAATTCATTTTGAGTTATATGAATGCAACACTGAAAACAACAGATAATGCAAGGCCTTCTTGCTAAACTACTTTTAGCTATTACTTACCACAAACACGTCATGTTGACAATACATCTAATCGTCAAATTTCATACTCTAATCATGACATATCCACAGTGAAAGCAGTGTCTACTGTACGATTTTGCCTATTTAATGAGCATGCGTTTATGACACATTATCAAACTGTGACGATAAAAGGTTGAAAACTTGGATCATGTCTTCCACGGGAAAATAGTGAATTGCAACCAACTTTAATGCTTGTCACTGATCTATCAAATGTTCGTCACATGTCTGCCATGTCAACAAATAAATGTGTAATATTTAGTATATAGGAATGACAAGTCTTTATGGATGATCAACTTCTTAATTGTACAATAGCGACGTTTCTGCATAGATACTAACTACCGTTTTCAGGTATGAAGAGGGAATGGAGACAGCAGGTTATATATAGGGTATAAGGGCTAACAAAGACATTGGATGATAAAGAAGATGATAAACAATGAAATAATAAACAAGCATAATATTACAACAAACAACCAGATGCAAGATAAAACATGAAGAATAATATTACCAGTGAGAGTGGGGATAACACGTCATCAATCTGGGACATTGTCAAAAGACTAGCAAACAATCAACACGATTACACTACAAGAAAATCGACAGAAGCACTAGAGATAAAAAGACACCGCCCAAAACTTAATAGGGACCAGGGCCATTGATCCCATCAGTTTACCACCACCTAAAGTACTGTCGGAAATAGAGGGAAAAAAACTGTTTTTAGACTGTTACTCCGTATCCCTAAAATTGCAAATAGCATCTATCCCACCTCATGTAAGAATGTCCATCTCTGATTGGTTCACATGACCTTGAACAAATTACCATGTTTGCCCGGTGCGCGGCCGTACACCGCCCAAGCGGGATATAGATCTTTCCGAGGGGGATAAATCATTTATCCCAAGGTCCATGGTAAAGCCTGCATCCATGGCAGTCAATGAACAGTGAACCAGTGGTTAGGATCGACTAGTCAGTACCATGCTAGTAAAATATATGATTGACTTTCAGTTTGTTTTAATGGCATATTTACATAATGAGAGAATTAAACACTCTGTAAGATAAATTCGTTGTTGCATTGTGTGTCGGGGTATCCGGGGTTTTATGCGTCCCTCGTTAGGTTTCATCCTAACGAAATCTAACACGGGACGCTTAAAATCCCAAATACAACTCTTTACAATGCTACAACTTATAATGTCGAAACAACCCACTTTGGCCTAACTGGGCGTTCAGTGGGATGCGTAATAGGATATCCAGAAAAGCATGTCTACTCATAAAATGGCTGCTGAAAATTATAGATGGCAAGTAGGTCGCTCAGCCAGGTATGACGACGCCAGGTCGACTCACCTGGTATGGAATGCATGTGCTGCTACCCACAAGGGGTCATCTCATAGATATTTTATGCTTTTACATGTGTGTTGAATATGTCTCGTCTATTGATTAACATCAGTATACGTGTCTTTCTATCATAACGTTTATGTTGAGATATGTATAAGAGTAAGCTACCCATAGAAAAGCTTAAATCAGCCATCGTATTAAACGTCTCAAAAGATATAGGTGGCATGACCACCTTCTGTCGACAGGACTGGATACTATTTGTAAATTGTAATGACATGCCGTTTATTTCCCCTTAAAAGATTATCTTATCTTAGCTGATATCTCCAATCAGGAGTTTAAAGTGTGATGTCGGAAGTTATCTTCCACTCCTTCACACCAAATTTCAGCTTTTTGACATGTTACTATTTATTGTTTTTTCCAAAGGAACAAATTGACATTTGAAATGACAAGCATGCTTCTTAATGGTAAAGCTGAAACCATCCAAAAGCCAAGGATCTCATTGAGTTAACTCCTCATGATGAACTTGCACAGCTGCCATCGCCACGCATCATCAACTCTCACATGAAGCTGTCCGACTCTCCAACTGATGTAACGGCTCTGAAGTGCAAAGTCATCTTCACTATGCGAGACCCAAAGGATGTCGCCGTCTCTCTGTACAAACTCTATTATAACAGAACCTTTTCGTCTGGTACATATAATGGAGACTTTGAGGATTTCCTTCAACTCTTCATGGATGGAACAGGTTTGACAGTTTCACAACCTTTCAGAACTTTGCTTGGTAAAAGACCCAGTTAACCAGACGTTTTGCATGAACTATTAGTACAGTGCCACCGATTTCCTTGAAATCAAAGAATATTTTTTCTAATCATCACAGTTCATTATATAGTATAATGAAGATATGATTTCATATCGACAAGTTAGAATAGTATACTAATAATTCCTACTAACCCAATGCATTACTTAGTTGTAATCATAATAATCTTTAGACACACCGTCGTCGCCCGTTAGTAGATGCATGGGGTCCTTATATGATTATCTTCAACTCTTTTGGATGGTACAGGTTTTTATCCTTCTGGTTTTGTTAAAAGACCAAGCAAACAACATGTTTTTGCATGAACTATTAGCACAGTCTGAAACCTTCTTCAACCTTTACACTATATTTAGTTTAACCAGTGACTCATTAGTAATGTAATAATGTGTTATGAGAGTGTTTTGTTTTTGTAATTTGTAATTTGTAATATCACATTGATTAAGTGATAGTTATTATGGGTCACAATGTTTAAAGTTGTGAGTGTGGGTTTGGCTCGCATCTCGCATCATATATGTTCAACGGCAATAATATGTGTGTAGCGACACACCTTTTCGATAGCGATTCAGAGTTGCCTCCCTTGGCTGGCTTTATTTTGTTTTGACTTCCGGGTCTTGTCACGTCATGTGTTTTCCACATGGTTCCATGGCGTTTTGAGAGAACAATGATGGAGCCTAGCTTTGCTAGAATGCTCGAGAACTGTGTAAGAGCTATATAAAGGCCGGTTGTTGAGTTCTGACACGGGTCTTTTCACATGGCTGGATTTATACACATCTGGCTGCCATCGTCAAGTTGCTCAACATTTCAAGACCGACCGTGCTTGTCTATTTAACTGCTGTCATTGTTAACAACCTTCAATCAGTATATCTGTTCTCACTGTAAATGTCAAGACTCTGGGGAGTTAATATTTCATATTTGTGACCCAATATTTTAGATTTGTGACTCAATTGCATTTTACTAGAAATCTGTATTGTCATTCATTGTAGCTTGCTCATTGTTTGTTCAATATGTTATTGAATATTTTACACTTGTCTGTGTTCTAATTTGCTGGTTCAAAGGGGACTCTTAAACCTTTTGTCACGGAAATTTTGTTTTGAAAAATATACAAAGCTTTTGGCTTCAGAAATATACAAAAGAAGCAAGTCCTTTCTGAATCTTTCCTACTGTAAAGTCATCAATAACACATTGACAATCCGGATTAAAAGGCCTTCAGCAACGCATCTTTGTCATAAGAGGCGTCTAACGAGATCGAGTGATACGGGGCACTGACTTGATTTACAATGTCATCATATCCCAAGTGCGGCATCAAACAATCAGCAAACAAATAGAAAAAACACAAAGAAATAACGTGTATAAGGAACTTCTCACATGGAAGACGAGTAAAGCCCATTCCTGGTGTGCAAACGTCGATATTGTAAAAAGCAGAAAAGTATACTTAATAATGCATAAGTTAGTTCTTTGTGCTACTTTTAATAATAAATTCAAACGTTCCAACCGCATTGTTGTAGCCATAAGACGACAAAAAGTCTATGTGTATACACAGGTGAGTCATGAATTCAAAGATATATTTAAAGACAAGCTTATATCAAACATGTTTGAACATTGCTACATATTTCACGTTTAAAACATGAGCGCATGAGCGATGAGTCTCCAACATCCAAAACTAGGGGATCATGGTGATTTTCGTATGTTTCAGTCGACAATAATGGCATATTTGAACACTGGAGAGACGACGAGAAATATTTCACTGACCATCCTGAAGTCCCAGTGCACTTTCAAAGTTATGAAGAAGCCATCAAGGTATCCAAACACAGCCTAATTAGACAAAATGGTCTTAGTGCTATGATTACCGAAATTCCTTTACTTAAGCATCAACATACAATTGGAGGAGTATTCAGAATGCGAAGTTAAATGAGACCGAGGATTTACACCTTTTCATTTGTTTTCTTGTTTTACTACATTACATTAACAATGACCAGACCTATGCCAATCCGGGTTATGACTGACCTAACACGAAACTTACAAGACCAACCAGATATGTAAATTTTCATACATGAAAACAAAACCCTGTCTATATTTACAAGACACCACTGCAAAATTCATGGTAAGACATACTTTTGGTCATTTGAGCACCAAGGTATGATTTTTACTTTCTTTCCTTAGGATCCTGTACGTGCTGTACAAGCTCTGTCCGACTTTCTTGGACTTCACAGAAATGATGATCTGTGCCGAGCCATTGCAGAGAAGTGCAGCTTCTCAAGAATGAAAATCGACAAGGAACCCTTTGCAATAAAAGTGGATGGAGAACACTTTCTGTACAGAAAAGGTAACTTAATACAAACTAACCTATTAAATAAAACCATTTTTTTAAGGTGCATCACAATAAATCACGTAAAGCATAAAAATCAGCACAAAAAACATTATCATTCACAAGTATTTAATCACAACGTTTGACAAACATTTTCGATAAAAGTTGACGGAGAACACTTTCTGTACAGAAAAGGTAATTTCATGAACACTGATTTTTGATATAAACCAACGGTTTAAGGTGCATCACAATAAATCACATAAGAAATCAAGAATTTATTGATTCACAAGTATTTAAGAACAACGTTTGATAAAAGAGTAATCTCTTAGAAGGTGCACAGTAATTTGTTCCTGATAACAAACGGGTACTTTCGAGAACTTCTATGACTATCATGATGTTTAAATCACATATCCCAGGAGTCGTTGGTGACTGGAAGAACTGGTTCAACGACAAGATGGTGGAAGATTACTACAGAGTATACGAAGAGAAGATGGCGGGGTCGAGATTCTATGCTAAATATGCAAGGAGTAAAACTAATATCATATGTATCTAAAGTTCCGTTTTAGTTTGGGTTAGTGCCGTTTTCAGATATATCGTAATATTCGGATTTTACGCTAACATATGTCGATATATATTTCTACAACCATTTGTCAAAATATTATATTATTAAACACACATTTCGTAGCACACAAAACATACCTTGAAAACCATCGCTAACCGGCAACATCATACACCAATGTATCGTCGTCTTTGTTTGAATTGCACTCGTATCTCGATGCGTATTTCGCCGTTGGTGTTATTTAGGAGATAAACGTACTGTGTTTTGAAATTAGATGAATGTTAGACCGAATTGATAGTCTCTAAATTTCATTTGAAACGCGTAGCGTGAGGTTTCAAATGATCTAATTTCCAAACACAGTATGTTTATCTCCATTCTACCATAACCGATTTAACATCGAACTTCCTCGTCCTGCGGAAGACACGGCGTAATCCGGCATGGGACGAGAAGGCGAATTGAACTCGTCTGTGAAGGGAGTGGTAGGTGCCGTTCGTATTTTTGTTAACATTGCAACATAAGAACTATTCTGTCCAAAGAAAACAAACTACTGTTTATTCAATACAATAATGTAACACCTAAGAGCTTGGTTTTTATAATCATAACTCCACACGACCGAAACCAGCCTATTGTTTTGTGTGCCGTGTTACTGTACCCCCCTGGCCACACTATAATGGAATCGTCTGACCTACTTATTTTCTTGGAAGTAGACAGTTACGCAACAGTTTGAAATGGCGGACGAGCCAGTGTTTACATTTTGCAAAAGGTTGAAATTCGAAGTGACAGTGGAAAATACTTGACTGACTGTCGAACCTGAACCCTGCAGAATCGAAGAATACATCCTTTTCTGATCGACCTATGACCTGTAACTCATCAAAGACTGTTGATTTTTATGACCGGCGAGTGTCGATCATAATTTCACGTACCTGCCTCCACCCCGGCATGCGACAAAAGAGTGACAGTACTGCTTTGTGTACATGCGACTAACTTGGGATTCCTTGGAACATTGTTCTCATCATTTTGACTGGATTGTGGCCAAGCTTTTCAAAATGTACGAACATTGCAGTGACAGCCTTGCGGTGAAGGTGACAGAGAGCGGGAATTCTCGTGGTTCAATTTTTGACATTTTTGAACGATGCAACGGGACATGATGGAGTATGAGTGACCAAAATTTTGTGTTCCGCCTGACCGTTATCTTGCAAATTTCTCATTCTAAACGGAAACAAATATACCATTTACCAGGTAGGTAAATGTTTACGAACGTTTTGCCGCACAAATAGGGATAGATAGGGATGTATTTTTAATTTTTTACAAGGTTTTCTGATTTATATGTTAGATATTGTTTGTTTATGTTTGGGGCTGTGTATTGTAATTGAGTTTGAATATTTTTATAATAGAAGGTAATAATTATGATAGTGAGGTTCCCTAATAATTGTGGAGGAGAAATCGTATAATTGTATTTTTCGAGTTTTAATAAATGTTTCATCAGCATTTCCATCACGTCGATCTGTTGTGTTGATATTAGTCATGTTGGTGGCCAAGCTGAAGTAGTGCGGCAGTGTTGTATACGTGCGCAGTGAAGCGCCGTGAAATCAGACGCATTTTCAATCCAAATTGATACCGTCTGATTTTATTGATTGACCAATCAATTTCGAGCATTTCACGTAGCCATGGTAGAACGTTGTATCTTTACATTCTCCAGATCTTGAACAATTGACAATCATGATTACAAGGTTTTGTTACATCATACTATTGGTCGAACATGTTCCTGTAGACATTTTCCTGTAGATTTTGGGGAGATCGTCACAAGTTTTGTCATATCATTATTACATGCCTCGTAATGCATTCGTATGGTCGTAATGTTCACGCAACATCATACACCAATGTATCGTCGTCTTTGTTTGAATTGCACTCGTATCTCGATGCGTATTTCGCCGTTGGTGTTATTGTTGTATCTTTACATTCTCCAGATCTGGAACAATTGACAATCATGATTACAAGGTTGTGTTACATCATACTATTGGTCGAACATGTTCCTGTAGACATTTTCTGTAGATTTTGGGAGATCGTCACAAGTTTTGTCATATAATTATGACATGCCTCGTAATGCATTCGTATGGTCGTAATGTTCACAAAACGATTGTCATAATCCGTGAATCAGATGATGGAGTTCTTTCGTTCGATGCTAGTAATCGAAAACTCTCTCATCTTTTCAGAACATGGTTCTGGCATGAAAACGTGTAGCAAGCTTCATACTTTTACACACATCACGTAATTGCACATGCTCAGAATCCGCGACAAGGAAGTCTATAGCTATTCTAGGGAATTATTTCAATGTCAAATGAAAGTGGTTCAATCGTTGACTGTGTATGCGTTCCTTTGAGCAATGTGTAGTTCTCACAAGAATATAAAGATGAGTATTACGAGATAACAATCGTTGTGTATTTTATCAATTAGATTTACATGATTCATCAAGCTCAAAATCTGTGTCGTGTACATGTAGGTGTCCCAAAGGTTTTAAAGGGTTATATTTTTTTTCACTCTGGATGTGCCAGTGCTACAGGTACACGACGGCAGTGAGTGAATAATCGAATCACTCTCACAACATACGGTGATTCATATCAATGGTACGTTACCGCCCCGCCTATGGACCAGAAGTACAGTGCTGTATTACTTTGTACACAGTGTATACGTACATGCATAACAATGCCAACATGGTCTTTCAGCGAAAGTAATTGGGAACCCTAACACATTGATTATAAAATGAAAAGTCTGAACACTGTCTCTTCCTGTCATCGGCGTCACAGCTCCTTCGGTAAATTAAGTGAAAACCTGCCTCAGATACACACACATGAGACAATACATAGCATAAAGACACCGGCTATTCTACGTGGACTTTCGTTATGTAGCCATAGTGAACATTATATAATTTTGTTGAATAATTCAAACTCAGTTGTATATAATTCATACATTTGTGTATTTGGAATGTATTTAGAATGAATTTTACAAACATTCAGCCACGTCCAGAAAGGGGACAAAATTTTGTGACAAGTTTTGATCATACCCAGATGACCTGCTTAAGGAGTTTCATGAGCCAAATTCAAAACATATTTTCGATAGCAAAACAGTCTCATGAAAAACTCTCCATTTATTATCAGCAGGTACCTCTGGTGGTCTCCATTTCCTTATCAAAATATCACCAATGACATAATAACAAACTAGAACAGTGTCATTTTCTTCTAGAGAGAGTATGCCCTAATGGCAAGAAAATGAGTTCTTCTCAGATATGTGGATCATAACTGGAATCTCAGTTCCTCAGAAGAAATGTGCCTAGTCTAAGCACGAGTAACAACACAGGACGGAAAAACATGTCAGGAATTTGCATTCCAAGATTTTAGTTCTTTCCGAAGTGCTGGGCTCATGACAAGCAACAGGATCACCCAAACATAGTCCCTCTGCAAATTCATCCACAATAAGCAACTTAAAAGGGAGTGTTTCTTCAACAACCGCCTGAACAAACCCAGACATCAGGTTCAAATTCACAACACTGAGAGGTGCACTTGCAAAACCACATAAAACCCTGGAACAAGAATATCAGAATTAGCTGGTGACTCCTTGGAAAATGGCAAATTAACATCCACACTCAGAATTATCCCTCAAAACGGTAAAAGGGCTTTACACTGGAAATGTGACTTTCAGCTGGCACAAAACATGTATTGAGGAGAGGTATATACTCTTCACCCACAAGAGACTTTGATGACTGGTCTACAAAAGCATGCTCCCGATTAGCCGAACCACAACGTTGCTGTGGTTTGACATTTTAAAAAACACTTTCTATGTTCAGAAATGATATGCCGTGGCTTGAGAGAGATTGAACTAGGAGAGACTAGACTATCCTTTCCTGGTTTATAACCATATAAACCCCTGCCTGAAGGGTTGGACTACCTTCTGGTGCAGTAGATCGAATGTCTCCTGAGACACAATGCTCAAACATTTCTAGCAAAAGAAACTGCCTCAAACGGTAAGAATCTCCACTGACGTCTTTAAAGAACACCACATATTGCTCAGAACTGTTTTTCATCTCCCTAGCAAACAAAACCAAAATACTAGTATCCCTTTTCTTTACAGACCTATACCGACGCCAGGATCTAATTCATAAAACCTTCAAAACTGCAGCCTTAACAGTCTGATAATATACTTCTATCAATAGTAAGGTAGAATAAACCTCCTGAGCTTTTCCCCTATATACACTCTGCAACAACAAGGTCCTCTGATAACCAATCCATTTCAAATTAATAGCAACCTTTTCAAATGTATGAAAACATTCGTTCACATTTGTAGAAAGGTTACACTTACTCAATTAAGCAAAGATTATAGTACACTTTGGTTGAGTCCCATCCGGATTCGAACCCTCACGCAAGGTTGGGTTTTAATCTGCGTGACGATATTGTGGTTTAAACTTGTGGTTTTATTTTGTGAGCAAGCGCTTGAAGTTTTGGGTTTATGTTGGAATTTAGTTCTTACTGGTATATATGCTGCTCAAATATAGAAACGATAAAAAACCCTTTCCACATCCGTGAGACAAGGCAGAGTCGATTGTATGATTCTGACTATATCATGAGGATGTGTGTTTGTTTCACATCCAGCAGCTGCAATGACGTGGTCTGTAAACAACCGAGTCTGGACCAGACAGTTCCGTGATTGACACCATGACATAATTAAGGGCATGGTTGTTGAAAATGAAGTACTTCGTCAATAATATTGTGGTCCCAACATTGTGTATTCCTGTTGCAGGGGTTCTCAATGAGTGCAAAGTGAATCAATTTTAAAGGAGTTGTGTATCGATGTGAAATTTGAGAAGTCTCTTATATGAGAAGGAATGCGGTAAGGCCTGAGCCATGACAAGACTGCGACCTTTCACCCCTATTGTAGCCAAGAGAGTGACCGGACTGTATGGACACTGGGTGTATCACAGTGCAAACATCAAAAAATGGAAGAAGTGAAAAGTGAAGAGGGTAGATTGACCGTAAGTAAAAATGATGAAAGTCATGTCTTTCCGTACAATGTTCCTGAGAAAGTTTTGTTCAGCTGTCCGGTCGGTGATACATCTACGTCTTGGAATGCTCATTTTGTTGGAGAAAGGTGACTGACCAGTGGGCACGGTTATCTGTGACCTTATTACCGTATTAAGTAGCAAATGCCAAGACCCTCCGTGAATGCTCTATATAATAATACTCTGC